ATGTAATGTGAGGCCTTCTGTTACTCCAGTCAGAATTTCACTTGCAACTTGCCGGTATTGTACAGGGTGTAACCTGGGAATTGGTAGTATTTCAATTTGTCATCCGAAAGGTTTGCTTCCATAATTGTGAAAATATTTACATCATAGGTTTGTAGGATTTTCTGGACTTGGATCTTTTTGTCCTGTGACATCCCTCCACCATTCCACTGGAGGATCTGAAGACGTTGTGATTCGCCCTGACGAGGGCGATTTCTCCTATAGCCTAGTTTCAAGCTAATCATAACAAATAGAAGTCAAATCAAATGCCGAGTGATAGACTTTTTTGCCGTACGAAGATACGTTGTCCAGGGTGCACTACGTTGAGGTAAGTCTATCACGCACCTCTAAACATCTCAATAACGTCAGTTTTCAAGCAAGTCGTCTATTTCCTCGTGCAATTCTGTTTCCATCGAGCTATTTTCATTATTATCCTCTGGTTTATGGCCGTGCCAATTTAATTCCATATGATATGAACGTAATAACATTCATTTTCCCTAGTTACGCTTGATTCTTCAGAAAATAGCCCAAAAACCCCAACTCCATATCGCAGTAATCACGCTGCGTTCTCATCAAGTAACCCAGAAACAAAATGAGACATTCTACGCTACGTAGCACCAATATCGATATTATTCTGCGAATACAACGATGGACGTACATCCACACATAACCCAAACACTTGTCTGGTTGTTTGAACCTACAATACTTTTAAAAAAATTACTCACTACCCTCCTTTAGGATTGGGATAGATCTGGATCGATATTTATCTTAACAAACTTAATGTATACCGTATTTCATACTTTTCTGCAGGGATCATTTTACAGGAATTTAGTTGAAATTTTAGCGCACAAGGTTAACACCTCTCCAGGGTTGATACGTTTTTCTAATGCCAATAATATTTGGACAACGTTATTTATATCTGCATTAGGACTAATAACGTGTCGTTTAGTACTTACGTTCTGTCTTATCGCTTGCTTTCTCGATTCAGAGTAAACCTAAAAACCTCAATTACTGTAGGACACAGACCGAATTTTCTAGGATTATAAAACTCCATGCGCCGAAAGAGGACGATGATGAAAATAGTTTTACAATCCATGCAAATTTTCATCACAGCAATCAGGAAAAGACAATTTTTTTAAAGAATATTAGATTATAACGGCACATTATCAGTTGAAATTTTTACAATTAAATCACGAGCATTATTCAAAATCCCTAACAAAAAATCATTTCTTCCGGGGGAAAATCAACAGTTTCCGTTCATTTAAGCTAGTAAATCCCATCTGTCTTTTACTGAAAACATCGACTTTCCAAATCCCGTGAAAGCGAAAAAATTTAAATGCCACGGCTCTTCAGTCCACATGGCCATCTTTTCCTCCATTTTATCAAGAAAGGCATTTGTTAGTAGAGATATAGTTTTACTGGGAGGTGCAAGAAGTGAGTTAGCCTTGTCATTTAAGAATGCAAAGCGTTTTTGTATTTTATTGTTCCATGTTTCGTAGATCATCTCCTCTGCCAATGCCTGAGAATTAGTAATAACCCTTTGACCTTCAAGTATGGGAAGACTTGATTTACATATTGGGCAATGGGTTGTAGTTAGCCCAGATTCGAAATGACAGCCAGAACACCTAATCAACTCCTGAGGATTGTCCTCATTCCATTCATCTTGACAGGCCTCGCACATACATTTAAAAAAGAAACTAGTTTTAAGAAACTTTCTGCGGCTTTGAGTATCTTCTTCGAAATATGTCCCACTATAAGTAATTGTAATTTCCCTTCCTTTTTCCAAACTTCTAGTTAACATAAGAACCAGGGCTCCATCAGTTGTAAAATAGTAATCAGCTGACGGGTAGCAGGAGTGGTTGATAAGAGATATTGGTGGATAAATACTGCAAGTAAGGTATTCACGCATTTTAGAATCGTCCCAATAAATGAAATCGTTGACTCTGAATGAATTGATAGCTGTGGCTTGAAAATGGTAGAGAAAACATGCTGCAATCCAAATCGCTGGAGGTTGAGATGGTAAATGGTTGGTTGGGTAAACATTTCTCGAAGCATACCAGTCCATTGGGTAGCCACCAATCTAAAATTAAATCAAGTCAGCATAAAAGCCATGAATTGTGATGTCGATTAATAGATTTTATTAATCTGATCAATTAACTGTGCAGATGAGTTAGAAAGTACCAATGAGTAGAGATGGAACACCGACAAACATGGCGAAAGCTCACACTGGCAAAGAAGGGACAGTTCGCATCCAAAAAATAAACTCTGCTTTCTGTTTTGATATCAGGACTCTCAGGGTCAGACCACAGAATGAAATTCCTTTTAGGCAGGAAGAATTAAGTATGACTAATCAACTCCTTTTCTAATTATTGCCTAAGTTGTCTTTCCAACTGTTCTTTCTGGGCTCTTCTGTTGTTTTGTTCTTTATATCGAATGCGTTACAGTTGAGATAAAATTGTCATCGATCCGGTAATGGACTAACTTCAAACTCTCAATTAGATGAAGGGACCCTTATTTTGCAAGCCACCAACCGGTTTGTTACTGATGAAGTGGACGCATACTAAGCAAGAAATGCCTCTTGTCAGTACGTGCTACCACGCAGGTAGAAGTGAGCCTACAGTGGACCCATAAGTAGTCAGGGCCCAAGTTATCACCAATTACAGCATACTACCAATTTATAAGGAAGAAAACCATATGATAAGGTGACTGCTTACTTTCCCTCTTGCACTTCATTATTATAAACCATTCTGGGTCCTTTGCTGACCTTCCTTATCTCCTTTTTAAACTTCCCTCACTGAACCTATTATTGATAATCTTAATTTCTTGGAGAGGATACACTTTAGCTGTTATTTATACTTTTAAATAAAGTAGCAGCCAATATTTATATGTGGCGAATAATTATATAAACAGAATATGTAATATATAGCATGATTACCATCATCAATTAGAGTAGACTATGAAACTTGAAGTGCGTACCAGCACGTAGCGTGAATCAGTGATCGCGTTGACTAGATCTGATTATATGGACATATGTCATTATAGTTCATAAAGAAGCCTGTCGGTTATGAAATAAAACTGGTCCACTGCCCCCACCAGTTGAAATTTTACTGCTACAATGGTCTCGTTCGCACCTTCTATACATCTTCGTATTTTCCTGTACATAACTATAATGTGACTTCATACAGAACTATTAAGACCACTTTACCAAAACAGCAATGTAATTTTAGAAAGTGAGATTGATATCTGGATAGGTTGTGGCCAAATTCAAGACATTGATGTCCACTTCGTTGAAATTTTACTGTCTCACATCTAGGACAAAGGTATGTTCCAGAAACTCCATCTTGTTCCTGAGTACAAAAGCACCCCCTTCGAACATAGCCACCAAAGATTTCACGGTTAGAAGTCCAATACTATGGGGCATCCAAGAGGAAATAGGAAACTCAAATCTTGTAGCGCAACGAATTAACGAAATGGGTTTAGTGGTTCTATGAAATAGAGAACTTTGACAAGTTAATAAGTAGCATACGTAGAGACAGTAGGTGAGGAAGATTGACGCGATGGTGAAATCGAAAAGCATTGATCCATACCGCCCCTTCGCTTTCTTCCAGTTGTCGGTGCCAGGGTGTAACCACGCAATGGAGGCGTAATCCGACGAACGCCATAGATTCTGTTCAGCAGTTCGGGTTTCATTAATTCCATAAAATGCGGCATGCGATTTTCCATTCTTGAAGAAATTTGTAAAAAAAAGACAATAAAATTTGTTAAGTGTTCGCATAACTAACAATCATACACTTTGCGATATCAAGTTGTGTTCCTTTATTAAAAAATACATTCGTATTCACCTTATACTTTCCAGTTGCGGTTATATATTCGAGTAGACGACGGGGGTTGGTATTTGCAATGCAATTGAAGACTGTGTGTGACAAGCTCCTGCAAAAATATGACGGTTGGCTTTTATTAAGGCAATTAAATATCAAAGGAAGTACTCCATTGCAATCATATTTATGTCGTCTGAAACAGTGGTCTCCGTTCATTCTATTCTTCCTTGCTTTCTTGGCACACTTGTCGCTGCAGAAGCCGACCTAGGGAGTAATAAAGCAAGAGTTGGAGGCACGGAGTAAGAAATGATTTACTGGTGTGAGGAAGGGACGAAATAGGGTGAAGGTAAGATTGTGATGGTTACCTTCATCTCAGGAAGAACTGTAATGGGCTATATCTAGTGTCGCACATCCTCATTAGTCAACGTATGCTCACATGAGTTGGTAAGATGGCATGTGCTTCATTATTGAACTGCAAAGTATTCAGCCTATATAGTCTACTTTCAATTCCTCAGTGCTTGATTGGTTATAGCAGTAATGAAACGATGTCCTTCTAATAAATTCCATTAAATGCTAATAAAAGTAGGAGAATTTCTTTTTCGACTGATTTCAGTTATCTGTTGGCATGAATTAAAGCCCATTGGGCCATTTGAAAATACTAGTCTAAAAACGAACTTGCATACATCCAGAAATTTGATGGATCGCAGACATGGGTTGGTTTTAGTCGTTTTGAGGTAATTGATTGGTATTTAATGCCTGGACCCTATAAATAAATCGGACCTAATCTGCTAAAGTTAAATAAAATCCTAATTGACGATTGTTTATCATAAAATTTAGGGAGATTGATCGAAAATGGACTGAACGTCTGGGCAAGTTTGGCCTAGGTTACCTCCTCACATAATCAGTAGTCTACCAAAAGGCCAACATGATGCAACGGCACTTCCCAAACTCAGAAAAACGAGTGCGGCACAAAAAAATATCAAAGGTATTCTATTATGAAACTAACTATATATACGACCCATAATTAAACTTACGTTGGCACAATTCTTGCAAGGAATAAGACTGTGGCACCTCCTGAGGCAAACAAAACAGTATTTGGTCAAATTTGCAGACAGAGGACCTGAATATGGTTTTACTACAGCCAGAATTTCACCTGGATTGAGAAATATTTGAATTATTAAGCTTATCAATAAGATGTATTATTTAATAAATCAACGATAAGCAGACACTGATGCTATCTAGGTTGGCTTCACCGTACTAAAATGGCCTCAATTGTGGTTGCTATGGCAACTTATGCTCAATTTATAAGAGGATGGGAAAATATATATATATATATTGGTCACAGCTATTTGGAGATTTTATTTCAAACAATAAAATAGTGCGCTATGTGCCACTTCGATAAAAGAGTACTAATATATTTCAAAGATAAAAAAGCAGCAGTGCATTTACATTGTAAGCCCCGAGACAGTTAAAAGTAGGTAAGTAGCCTTGCTGGAAAATGCTTACTTACCCGACTGTGCGCAAAGTAAATTAGTAAGGAAGCTGAAGAGAGAGTTCGGTGCGACCATTGGCTAGGTCAGAGGACATTGTCATATGTCGCTATTATTCAAGATGACAGACGGGTTAGGGGCAAATGATGCAATATTCCTACCATCTCCATTCTTTAGACCATCTCTCCAACAAAACCAAGCCCTGCAAATCCCCCCCCCCTCTAAGCCCAAGAAGAGCCTGCCAGTGTTAGAGAATCTACGACTATTAAACATAATTATAGATGAGGCGCCAAGAATACATGGGGCACCTCCTCCAGCCAATTGTCTGCATTAAAATCCTATACAAATTAGGTCGCTAACGAAACCCATCCAATTCCTCCCCATCCCTCTTTCCCTTAAACTGGCTGTAACAGTTTTTTGACTATCACAATACAGATTACTTAGCTTTGACGTAATTAAGCAGCGCAACGTTCTTCCATGAACGTTGACTAACTGCATTCAAAATATTTGAATCGGTTCCCAAACGTATTTATTCGACTTCCTCTGCCTAAAAAGAAAACCTAAAGCGGATATGTTCTTTGATTTCAGATTAAATCGTTAAAGATACTCCACTTTTAATATCCATTATATGGAAAATTTCCCATGACCGTACATTTCACTTGATCACTATCTGACTGTAGTTTCGATAAATGAGCATTCAAGTGGCTTACCAGCCTTCAGATCTCTCGCTGCTACTGTTGTCCAAAGAGATGGTGTCATTGAATGCTTTACTTGTAAATTTCTCTCAGGGTGTTTGACTTTGAACAATTTGGGCCGATGACAGGTAAACGAGGGTTCTGTCTCCGATCTTTTTGACCTTTTTCTACATTTCGTCATTTCTAACATAGCTGATTCCTTCAGTTCTATTTCATTTGGCTTTTCGCAGTTTTCTAATAGTCTAATGACTCTCCTGAATTGGCACTTTGCCTTTAGACCTTTATGTAAATACACGTAGCATTTTCCCAAGATGAGTCTAATCTTTGCTTTGTCAGTTTTCAGCTCCAGATTCTAAAGCAAAAGCAGTTGCTTATAAATCTCTTCTTTAAAGTAAATACAAAATAACATATCTTATATTTAGGATTCAATAGCACAAGAGGAATATTATTTTGATATGGTATACACAAGATGCAGAATCCACCAAATCTGATTCAATGAATCAGAACATAACTAGTTAAGTGGATGTATAACCACATCAATTAACATTGCAAAAAATTGCAAGAAATTGACATGATGGTAGAAGGCTAAAAAATATGGTCAGTTAGCGAAATTGAGAGATTTGATATTCACGTCCTGGGGTGCGCGATAAACTTATCTCCACGTGGTGCATTCTTGGCATCGTATAATCATACGGCAAAAGAAGTCAATTTATCGATTGACTTCTGACTTCAAACTACCATGACCCCACTCATTCGACCACTTCAACAGTACTCATCTTACCTTTTCTCTGCATTTGTGCCCAACTGTCCCTTTACATCTGTGATTCACTTTGCTTTCCCTCCTCTCGAATTCTTCTCACTATGATGTTCCTCCCCTCTGTGAAGTCAGAAGTCAGCTAAAAGGCTAATGGTAACTACCAAAATGCCTGCATTTAAAATAAATAAATATTTACGTCCTATTGATGAAATAACAGAAGCAGTAACTAATTGTGTAATGAGCATAGTGACAAGATATGTGCCACTATGATTTCGTGCAAGACCGTCAATAGTAAAGTGTTGGACTTTACCTCCTAGGAGAAAGCAGTAGCGCAACATGACTATAAAGGTCAAAAATATTTAGGATAATGCTAGTCTGGGGGGTGTGGAAGGGTAATGAAAGCTGCGAAGTACGGTGGAACAGCAAAGTAGTAGAAGGTGATGCTAGCCATTACGAAAGGTAAGCGTTAGTATATCGATTAATGCAGACACAGAAAGTGCATAACTGGGACTAGTATACCAAGATATGCATGCCTCCACGTCCACAGCTACTTCTCCTTAAGATGTTATTGCTTGAAGACCTATCTAAATCATGCTTCATAGAACTAAATTGGATCAGACAGTGAATTAATCCTTATTCAATAATTTCTCAAGGAAAATTTATTAACCCATAAATAGTTATGGCGAAGCTGTGCTTCTGTCTTATCCCTCCTTGGGTCTGATTCAGCTGTAATTTAAAAATACACAGTGGGCACCAGGTCTTTCCGATACTTCAAAGGGAGCCGTAAAGTTATATGACAAAGTGGGAGTTTTTACTTGAACGTAATACTCACCTTAAGTGCTCTTTTTGAGTCATGCTTTGCTTCACTAATTAATCCCAAAGAAAAAAGCTGTTCAGCTCTGTGAGCAAGAGCCAGAGCGAGCTGTATATTAGTAGCAGCATGAAAAACGGCTTTTGTGTAATCGTAAAGTGTTAAGTATATATCGTTCTTTTTCATCGCCTCGGCTCCGTGCTTGAGAAATAGTATTGAAAGAAAATCATTTTTATTATTCTCCAATTGCAGAATCCGTTTTGCATGGTTTATATCAAGGGCATCTACGAGACTCTGACCTTAAAAAAATGCAAAAGTGGAAGGCGAAAAATATATCCTACCTTTGGCAGGGATCTGCAAGAGAGTCATGACGTATTCAACCCGTTGGAAGTCATTTTCAAGTTCGTTAAATTCTTCTTGAATTTCGTCAGTTACGCAATGGAAACTTTCTTCTACTAATTTATAGTATTGGTTCACTAGCTGTTGAGAGATTCCGTAGTCTTGGTGCTTGGCGTAAATCGAAATAATCATTAGAGAAATCTGTAAAGGTAATATTCAAACATGTCAATCTTTTTTTGTCCACGTTAGAATATATTTCCCAGATATGGTAATCAGGTTCCATAACTTTTAAACTTAAAACCAATATGACCAAATTGTAGACTGAAGAACTAAACGTTGCTAGTCTATCACCTTGCGATATCTTAAATGATAGCAACAAGTAGTCACTCTTACTAAATGGGAACTTAAAGAGTGGAGAGCAAACCAACTGGAAATATATCATTTCACCGCTATGGAAATTTGAGGAGGAAAATGGGAACGAACATTGTGGAAGAAAAAAGGAGAACCAAGTATTTTCACTGAAGGAACAAAATCTGGCGAGACATTGGGCAGTTCTTCGAGAGGAAGAGATGAAGGCCAATAAATAATTAGTAAGAGGGCGTTAGTTACCGTCAGAAGGGGATGAAATATAATGATTGAGTTTATGCTCTTGAGCAGGAAAATAGTTTTGAATATAACCGTTAAAAGTAATAAGGGGTTCGAAAACGACTTTCAGAAGCACTTAGAGACTGATCACATTGGGAGTGGAGCGGCAAAGTTAGTTATGCACCTTGTCGAAAAGAATATCCTCCTGAATCCGGTGTCCCCTTTACTATTCATCAATCATATGATGGGCAACTGCTTAAAATATTTCTCTCGTTTAAATGGGTACCTACCTATGAAATATGCATTTTAAATGAGGTGTCTGCAGCATATTTTGAAAGAAGCAAGGAAGTAGACAAAAAATTCTACCAAAATCTCTATTCGGTGCTACTTAGTTGTTTTTGTGTTCAACTTTTCCTACACATCTTGGTGGGAGAACTAATTATGCAGTTAAATCTTCATTCCAAGCAGTTCTACATTTCCACTTAAAAGCTCTGAGCTCATTGAAGTATTATTAAAAATAGTCTTTTCGAATTTAAACGGGTTCAGTTAATCTGATTTCCTAACAAAATCTTCAGCCCACTTTCTACCTCATTACTTAACCATTTCATTTACGATTTAACCTTATAGGCGTTTTTCGCATTTTTAGGGGAACTTGAAATATTATTAACAATAAGGAAAACGATACAAATTGCTTGTTAGGAAAAATATATAAAAATAACAATAGCAGAACTCATGAGAGATTCTTATCAATAGAAAAGTCTTCCATATGATTTTTATCCCAGATTCAAGGAACGTTATGCAAAAAGGTGCCTGCTTAATCTATTCAAGTAAATTAGAGCCATTTGCGAAAACTCATCTCCAATACGCTGGAAGATTGCATAAAGGACCTTTTATAGATGAAAATCAGTCAAACTACTGAATAATACATTTAGTTTAAAAAAGAGCTAAAACAGGATGAATTTATTAATGAAGCCAAGAAAACAGTTGAAAAATGCAAAACCCAGAAATTAAATTGCACATTTAATAAATACTTACGTAAGTCCAAATACAGTAAACTGATGAGTTTTCTTAAATTATTCAAAATTTGAAAAATTCTTACTAAATTCCAACTTGTGGATACAGTTCGATATTTGATCACAAAATCGTAATCATGTTTACTGGGCATATTAAGTGATTATTTTTCAGAATACTTCAAGCTTATCGAATGTAAAGCTTCAGCAAGTTAAGCACCCGAAATAAAAGTTCGGTAAGATATCTTATAAAAGAGATGTATTAAAGCAATCTCATTTTTTCTAGTTTCTTTACCGAACTACGTGCAATTTGCATATATTTATAGAGGATTCGAAAACCTTAAAAATTAAAGGTCATAGGTCGACCAAGTATAATGGGTGATTTTGAATGAAAACTCAAGCTCTCAACAACGAGAGCATTATGACATTATTATCAGTAATTTAGTTTTGAATATGAACTAAATTTGGGATTTATAAGTGCTATTTTAGTGGTGAAAGTGTAGCATTAAAGTGCTAAAGCAACATTTCCTGTTGTAAGTCAAGAATAAACTAGTCGACTTAATGTCTCAAAATATTTTATCCCTCCTTAAACACTTCTCATGCCAAAAGTTCTATTTTTTCAAATATTCAACAGCTTGAAGAAATACCAGAACTACATAATTTCAAGAAACTGTTACTAAAGCCCTTATTGTGGAATATTTAGTTATTTTATATGGCAGGCGGTATGATAGTTAACATTAGCCCTTTGGCTGACTTCTGACTTCACAGAGGGATGGAACATCATGGTGAGAAAAATTCGAGAGGGGGGGGGGAAGAAGAGTGAATCATAGATGCAAAGAGACAGATGGACAAAAATGCAGAGAAAATGCAAGATGAGTATTGTTGAAGTGGTCGAATTTGACATGGAGTGGGGTCATGGTAGTTTGAAGTCAGAAGTCAACTATCGATAAATTGACTTCTTTTGCCGTATGATTATACGATGCCAAGAATGCACCACGTGGAGATAAGTTTATCGCGCACCCCTATTGAGGAATAAACGAGGGCCAGAATAACGAAATCGTTTAGTTGTTCGCTGAAGATACAATAATAACTTTCATTAAATGCTTATATAATCCCCAGATTTTTAAGTTTTACCCTTCTGTAAATATGCCTAGACCCAATATCATTGATGGGTGTCTGTATTATCTCAATGCAACAAGCTACTGAGCCTCTGCCGGTCTTTAACTAATTAGTCCCCAGTAAAATAAGTATAGATGCGAGTTAGAAAGCTTGATGAATATCTATGAAAATATATTATTTCTAAATTTATTGTTTATTTGGCCATTCTTATTATACTTTGTGTTTTTTTGTGGTAACGTACGTTTAGAATATAAAAGGAATATTGTCTGACCGAATAGGGGCGAAACACTAAAGTGCCTATTGAATTAATGAACATAATCGTTGCGAACACGTATAAGATACTTTTATATTTTCGGCTCAAAGAAAGCATTGCCATTCTCAAATAGTTAAATTTCAGCTCCAGATTGCAAGCGTATGGAGCAGACCATTTCGACATTATATGCCACGACTTATTAAGTTCAGTAATTAATTGCGATTTAATCAACACGAATTTCACAACTGCCTAAAGGCTTGCATTTTGGATAAATAAAAGAAGTAAATGCCTTGTAGGTGCAATAAAATTATTTTCTCTTTCTTAAAGCAGAAAAATTTCGAATTTAGAAATATTGAGTAGATACATAAATATTCTGATTTTAAGACTAAAGTAAGCTTAAAGTCACCGTATACAATAAGTTGGACACAACTACGGTAGCTTTGAATGTGAAATACTTACTTTATGCTATAAACAGAAGTCATAATTTAAGTTTACTTAGACAAATGAATATTTTAAATAAGGTACATGAATTAAAGTTTAACAATGATACAAATATTGATTATTAATCAAACGCTATGTTTTGCTCAAAATATTAGTCAATAAACGGACATTAATCTAACCTTTTGTTATACTGCGCTGGTAATGCATTAAGGCATCTAAATTTCTGCGAGCTGTAGTGTTTTTCGGTTTTCACTCTTTGTCTCGTTGGTACTATTCCACTGCATTTTAAGCCAGTTTTAGTCTAATTCAACGATTTAATTATTTTTTCTTGAATGCTTTTATTTTTTTCTTTTTTTCACTAGTATCGATATATATATTGATTCAGATGACGTGATGTATTATTTTTCGGATTCTCCAGTTGTTCTTACTGACCTTCCCAGTGATCTCAATAGTTTCATTACAGTCACCGATGATGGCCAACTGGTTGCCGTTTTGGTTAGCAATCAGATATACTTTCACTGTCAGAAATCCAACGTTCTTCTTTGTCAGTATCGTCACAGTTCCAGTAATATTGAAAGGTATGGTAACCTCGCATTTGCAGCCTGGAATAGCACTGGCGATATTCTTCTTCTTCGAGTACTAATTGAATTTCGTTAATATAAAAATATTTTTAGACTGATTTAGGATTTTTGGGCCTTTTGCATTTATTAAAACGTGAGATTGAACAAGGAAATGGTGATAAGTAAGCCGTTTTTTATCCTCTCCCCTATGCTTTTTGTAGTTCTATTAAACTACGTCTTGAAGTGGTTGTGAAATCGGTGAATATTTTGCAATCGCTTGGCCAATTTTCGTGGTAAGTTATTTTTTTACTTATACTTCTTTACCTAGTTGCATCTCTACGTGTAATAAAATTATCGCCGGTAACAGAGTCGGTCGAGTTATTTGTTTAAATTGGCTTGGAGAGGTGTTGACTAATGAGGGATTTGATTTTCACTCAATTCCCGTCCAATCCGAGTTTGGAATTAACGCCGTCACTAGTCGTCTCGAACCATCTGTCAACTATCATCGATTTTACTGGGCACCCTCTTTAGGGGGATTTCTCGTAACCCTCACAAATGGTCGTTTAATCTTGGTCATTCTTCCTCTTTCGAGACTAGACGCAAAGGTATTTCTACTTTCAATTATTATTACTATTATCACGGAAATACAAAGCTTTGTTCTTGAATGTTTTTATAAATATAGAGAATCGAAGAATAATTTAAATAAATCGCCTGGTGGATGTAGGGCTTGAATTACTGTTTGATTAGGCTGTCCTATATTCTAAAGTTGGTGTTTCAGTAGTGTTCGGTGCTTCCTGAATCGGTGTTTTGCTGTTTAAACTTCAGGTTTTAACTCCCAGTTGATAAAATTATTCTCTTGTATCCATAATGTTTAAGACTGATCGAATTGAGAGAGACTGGAAATGGTTTCTCATTCTATGCTTTCTCTTTTGATTCAATTATATTTTTCCACTTTTAGCAAGTCAGAGCTGTATACTTGACGCAAGTAGAACCGTATTCTCCTCTATCTGTCAATAGTCGATTCAGAAGTTACGCCGTAGGCTCCTCTGAGTAAGTACGTTAGTGTCTTATCTCCTTTACATATTATTATATACATAGATAAATATCTAAAGAAGACTTGAGCAATTGAGATAATTCTTGGTTTCGATTTATGTTTATTAATTAAGCATATTTAATTAATTTTCTGTGCCATGATTTTACGGAGTCTTTGGCTTTAAAACTCGGATTGCAAGTAGTAATCAGTTCTATTTTCACCATTCAAGGCATGGGCCTCGATCCCGTGCCCTCTGACTTGTCAGATTCTAGTGTTTCATTCGAACGATTTGTTGTTAACGGTGAAGTGTCCTATAACACTGTGAAGAGGAGATTTTGTCTATTCTAACTTTCTGAATATTGTTTTCTTAAAATAAGTAAATAAAGAAACCACTAGTTATTCCATCGCTTTCAGCTTTCTGAATCATTTTAATATCGGATAGGTAAACCGTAAATGAGTATTCTCTTGCTTGAATCAGCTACACCAAGTTAGTTAATGTTGTTTCTAATTTTTGCTCAAATTTTAATTAAAAGAATTATTTATGTAATTTACTTTCCTTATATTTTGTTTAGTATTTTAAAATAACTAATCTCTTGTTTGAGAATTAAATTGTCGAAAGTAACGTTCTTTTCAACATAACTCCAATGAATCTTTCGTATAATATAGACTGCTTTATTTACTACTCTTGATTCATTTGAATAAAGTATGGTAATTGTTTAAAAATCAAATCATTCATATTTTATTCGCGCCTTCTGTGTACTATTGTCCTGCTTACTAGTCATCAAGCTTTCTGTCCGTAAAAATATACGACTTGCTGGCTAAGCTTGCATCGGATAGGATTTTTTATTTCACCTCTGTAATTCTAGCGTTTTTAGAAACTGGCCACGATTGTGAAAAGTTTTTAGAACATGTTATTGATACTCTTCGAATATATTTTAATTTCATCATATTTCATTCATAAATATTCACGGACAGTTGTTCTTTTTTTGTTCTAGTGGTCAAATTACTTCATATAATCTAGATGAGATGTCTAATTCCCTCGCTATTTCTCAAAAGTTCCGTCTTCCTCATCCTGTTAGACACGGTAAGTTGCCAAAATTAATTTCTAATATGTATACTGACAATTTATTTGTTTATTTCAAATGGCAGGCATTTTGATAGTTATCATTAGCCCTTTAGCTGACTTCATGCCTCACAGAGGAGGAGGGGGAACATCAAAGTGACAAAAAGTCGAGAGGGGGGACAGAATAATGATTCACAGATGTAAAAGAGACAGACAGACAATGGTTGAGTAAAAGATAAGGCGGTATCTGCTGAAATGGTGGAATATGGCATGCAGTAGGGTGAGGGTAGTTAGAAGTCAGAAGTCAACTGCCGGTTAATAGACTTTTTTGCCGTATGAGTATACGTTGCCCAGGGTGTACTACGTGGAGGTAAGTCTATCATACACCCCTGTATACTGACAAAGAAACCGTCTTTTTGTTTCAAATTCAAATTATTTAAAGCTCTATATTTGTTTGCCTGATTTGTGCACTCTACCTTACACATTTCTATTCTCCTTTTACCATAGGGATTAGCAAAGAGCCTAGGGCCGTGAAGACACTGTCCTGGTCTCCAGATGGCTACTGTCT